GGGGATCGGGCGCTACGTAGAATATGAAAACGGCAGCAGTGACCCACGGAGCTCCCCAGGAGAAGAAAGAGGAGAGGAGGAGAGGACGGATAAGGATGGAGAGGAGGGGGAGGAGGGGGAGGAGGAGTGGACGAGGAGGAGGAGGAGGAGGAGGACGAGAGGGAAGACCATAGTAAACCGAGAATGCAGCAACGATGCTGCAATACACCCTCCCGTCACAGGTTTCCTCCCCATTAATTAGTCAATGCAACCACTGTGGGAAGCGCTCACCCTGAATGATGAGCACTCGTTTGGCCTCCCATTCGGGCGAGACCCAGTATTGTAAAGGATCCAACCCCCATCCTTCTGTCTAGAAATGAGCGCAAATAAGGTAAGATAAAGAAGTTCAAGGAAATATCCAACGACGCCTCTATTTGGGAAACGACCTGCACTCCATGAGTGTAAGCGTCGCGCGGGTCAAACAGTTCTAGTCCTTCAACTTACGGAAGTCTCGAGCGAGAGACCCCCTTTGAACAAAAAACACAGCCATCCATCTGCTCAGATGTTGCACAATTTGGATCTTCGGGTGAAGTCCCAAGCGTGAGCCGCATTTTGAAATCTAGGGGGCCTCCGCCCTTTCGGCTGTCGGAAGCATGTAAACAGAATGTGCGCGGCGCCAAAAGGAAAGCCTCATTGAACAGCACGGCCCTCCTTCTAACGGCTGCAACCTTTTGAACACGCATGTGCGAGGCGTTAAGGCGAGGGCCACAATCTGAAAACCATCGGCCCTTCATCCCTGTAGCAGTCGGGAGCTTTGAATATGAATGTGCGCAGCGCTAAAGCCGCTAAGGCGATGACCGCATTTTGAAAATTAGGGGCCCTCTATCCTTGTCTCTGTTGATTTCTGCAGCTCTGCAGAGCAATTCGCGAAAAGATCTCGAGCGAAACGCCTGGCCTGCGGACATGTCCGGTGGTGCGACAGGGGAGAATGGTATTTCAGGAAGAGGGATGGAGGAGGATGAGGAGGAGGAGAAGGAGGAGGAGGAGGAGGAGGAGGGTCGAGGATCAAAGCTTTTGGACATGTTTGGGCTCTTCTTGGGCCTCTGGAGGCCTCTGGGGATCTCCGCGAGGATGCCCGGAAGCATCTAGAAGAGGCGGAGCAGCTTGGGAGAGCAGGAGGAGGAGGTGGAGGAGGAGGAGGAGGAGGAGATGAGGAGGAGGAGGAGGAGGAGGAGGAGATGAGGAGGAGGAGGAGGAGGAGGAGGAGGAGGAGGAGAAGAGGTGGAGATGGGGAGGAGAAGAAGAGGACAGGAGGAGAAGAAGAGGAGAAGAGGAGGGAGAGGACCAGCGTAAACCCAAGATCACTCAGCAATGCTGCAGTACCCCCCCCCTCTCCAGTTCCCTCTTCCTGCGCCCATGCAAGTTTTCCTGATCACTAGAAGCAGCGCCCCCCTTGAAAGACTGGCACAGTTGGGCCGGCCATCCTGGCGAGGGTCCCGCTTTGAAAAGGAATTGTCGTACATCTGTATATCGCGTAGTCAGCGACACGGCAGCAGATGTTCAAACAGTTCAAACAAGTCCAACGATACCCCCCGTCGATAAACGGATCGACGCCCCACGCATGTGACTCTTGCACAAGTTTGAACTCGCGGTCGCGAGTTCCGAAGAAATTTCCGGCGACAACTCCTTTTTGAAAATGAGTGGCATTGGGTCCGCACAGCCATACGTGATATGTGTTGAAACTTCGGGCTTGTGACTGAATGAAGACTCCAGAGGTAACCCACATTTGGAAAACAACAACCCCCCATCCCATGAAAAGCTGGTGGACAAAAACAAGAGAATAAACCACAAAAACGAATGTGCGCGCGCTCAGGCGAGAGCCCCATGTTGAGAATGTCCTGTGCTCAATCCTCGATGTTGTTTCAAAGTTTTGAAACGAACGTGCGCGGCGCTGTGGCGAGAGCCCCACTTTGAAAAGGAACCGCCTTCCATCCTTGAAGCTACTGTAACATGTTACATCGTGTGCGAGCAACACAATGGCGAGACCACCATTCGAGAAAAAAAAGAAAACCTTCAATACTTGAAGCTCTTGCAAGCTGTTAAGATGAATGTCAGCGGCGCTGAGCCGATGACAAATATTTTGAAAATAACCTCCCCCTCCATCCCTGAACGTGTGCAAACTTTGGAGACGAATGTGCGCGGCGTTACGGCGATAACCACATTTTGACAACGACCCCCCCCCTCCATCCTTGACGCTGCTACACACGTTGAAGTCGAATGTGGGCGGCACTCAAGCCAGAACCACAGTTTGAAAAGGAAACAGCATCAATCCTGGAAGCTGCTTCGAACCTTTAAGACGAATGCGCGGGGAGCTAAGGCGAGAGCCACATTTTGACAACGCCGCCCCTCCGTCGTGGACGAAGCTGCAGACATTGAAGACGAATGTGAGCGGCACTCACGCCGGAACCACAGTTTGAAAAGAAACCGGCATCAATCCTGGAAGTTGCTTCAAACTTTTAAGAAGCATGTGCGCGGCGCTGGGGCGAGAACCACATTTTGACAACGCCCCCCCTTGCGTCCTTGACGTTGCTGCAGACGTTGAAGACGAATGTGGGCGGTATTCAAGCTGGAACCACAGTTTGAAAAGCAACCGGCATCAATCCTGGAAGTTGCTTCAAACTTTTAAGAAGCATGTGCGCGGCGCTGGGGCGAGAACCACATCTTGACAACGCCTCCCCCTGGCGTCCTTGACGTTGCTGCAGACGTTGAAGACGAATGTGGGCGGCACTCACGCCGGAACCACAGTTTGAAAAGCAACCGGCATCAATCCTGGAAGTTGCTTCAGACTTTTCAGAAGCATGTGCGCGGCGCCGAAGCGAGAGGCACCCGTTTGCAGACGACGTGAGTTCCATCCTTGAGGCTGTTGCAAACTTCAAAAACGAATAAGCGCGGCGCTAAGGCGATTCCAGTACTTTGAAAACGCCCCCCCCCCATGCTTGAAGCTGCTGTAAACTCTTGATACGAGTTCGCGCGGCGCATAGGTGAGAGCAATCTTTCGAACACGAACCCACTACTGCCTCTGAAGCTGTTGCAAACAAGCTTTGAAGACGAAGGTGTGCGGCGCTGAGGCGGGGGCCACCATTTGAGAAGGAATCGACGTTCATCTTTGTAACTGATGCGCAGCTTTAAAAACAATGCGATCGGCGTTACGTATGGCGAGAGCCACATTTTGAAAACGATCTGTGCTACATCCTTGAACCTGTAGCAATATTTGAAGGCGAGTGGTTTCGGCGCAAAGACGACAGCAGCATTTTGAAAACGATGCCCCTCCTTTCTTGTAGCTGTTGCGAACCTGCAAGACAAACGTGCACGGCGCTAAGGCGAGGGCCACATTTTGATGACGACCTCCTTCCATCCAGAAAACCTGCTACAAGCTTTTAAGACGAATTTGCGCGGTGATACAGCGAAAACGACCTTTTGGAAACGACGTGGGCTCCATCCTTGACGCTGTTGCACATTTCAAGCGTCGGGGTCATAAATTCCCCAATCAGTGCTTGCACTGAAGGGATCCTAGCAGAAATTGAAAGATTTGTCGAAAGCTTCCCGCCGATTTTGGTAGCCGGCTGGGTTCCCGGGTTCCCAGGTTCTGGGTTATTGGTTCCAGGCCGATTTCGGTGGGTTCCGGGTTCCCGGATTCCTGGGCTCCCGGTCAATCTCCTTGTCGATCTCTTTATCGATCCCACGATTCAAAGCCATCCACTGATTGGGGTTTGGTGCATTTATTTTGGAAACGACGTGGGCTCCATCCTTGACGCTGTTGCACATTTCAAGCGTTAGGTCGGGCAGTCCCCCTACAGGCGGATTTTGGACAAAAAATTCAAGATTGTGAAAACAGACTCCCAAAATGTTAAAAAATAGTCGAAACCTCATCCCCATACTACTTTTTAAAAACTATTTTTGAATATTCCCCTTGCAGAGGAACGAGCCCGGCTTAACGCTGTTGCGCATTTCAAGCGTCGGGGTCATACATGGTGCGAAGTCTCAGGCCACACGCCCAGCCCGCCCCACCAAAGCGTCTGATTGCGTTGCGGAGTGAAGTCATTCATAAGGAAACAATGGGGAGGAGGAGAAGAGGAGGAGGAAGAGGAGGAGGAAGACGAGGAGGAGAGGAGGTGGAGAAGAGAGCAGGAGAAGGCGAGGGTGGAGGCTTACAAGTCCGTGCGAACGCGCGCAGCCAGCCCGTGCGCCCCAGCGGGCCTTCGCGCCGCGCCGCCAGACCACACTCCCGCCCGGAAGCTGCGCGCGCCGTGCTGAGCTTGCAGCGGGGCAGCGCGCGCCACAGAGAGGTCTGGCGCGCACTTCCGTCGACGCCGGCCTGCACATCTGCCCGTGCGAGCGCCGGATGTGCAGCGTGGACACTGGCAGCCTCCCGAGCGGCGCCCGAGCAAATGGGGTCGGAGGATCGCGCCGCATCGCTGACGCAGCGGCGATGCACCGGCGACGTCGGCGTGGGAAGAGAATCGGGCCCCACATCCGGCCGCATCGCCGATGTGGGTGCGATCGTCTGACCCCGTGTGCGCGGACCCCAGCGGGGAGGCCTGGAGCAAATTACGCAGTCAAACCCTTCGCGCTGAAACGCGTGAAGGCGGAAGATCGTTTTGCAGGCTCCGCGCCAGACGGGCCGTGCTGCTGCTGCTGCTGCTCCCCAGCGGCTCTCCAAGCCGCCACGAGACGAGGAGCCGAGGCACCCCGCTCGGCACCGCACGTCCACCCGGCTGAGCACCCGCGCGAAGGAGGAGGAGGAGGAAGATGGTCGGCGGCGCGCCAAGGGGGGAAGGCAGAGGGGGAGGGCGGAGGGCCTGCTCAGAAGCTTCGGAAGGCATCCAGCCTTCTGAGAAGCTTGCGGGGCCTCCTGCGAAGCCACGGGCGGCTTCTCGAAGGCGGGGGGGCTTCGCAGAAGCCCGGCCGCCTTCTGAGAAGGCCGGCCCCCTTTCACTTCTTTTCCCCTCGGCGCGCCGCCGAGATGGAGGGAGCGTGCGAGCGGCGACCCCATGCCCTCGGATACGCTGCTAGTTGAGCAGGATGTCCGAGTCGAGAGAGCAAAGAACAAAAACCTCCCTCCCCACCAATCGGGGATGGACAGACCCCCCTCTAGTAAAACGTGGTTTCGCGAAAACGACCCGAGGCCCAATCCTGGCGGGCGCCGGCCTGGAAAACAGCGGCCACGGCGCCCTCTCGAGAACCGAAAACGGACAATCCCACCAGCCCTTTAGGGCGTCGGTGGTTTAAGGAGTTTCCTCTTCCACCCCTCCTTCTTCCCCTTCGGGGAGGGGCTTACCCCTCCCCCTACCCCATCCCCACTGACCTGGACAGGGGGTTCCGCGGCGCGTTGGAGCGTCCAAAACGACCTCGGCGAGGAAGCCAAAATGATTGATTTTACTAGGGTTTTGGCCCCATTTTGGCCTTCTGAGGGGGGGGGCTGAAATTCACTAATCGACGCGTCACTGTTGGGGGTTCTGTCCACCCCCGAACCAAAAGCCCGGGCGCGCTCAGGCGCCCAGGGACTCCGGCACGGCCATGCCCGCCTCCTCCAGCGAGTGCTTCGCGGCGCCCGCCCGGGCGGGCGGCCGGAACTTGGCGTCCCCGCCGTCGAACCCGAAGATGCCGTGCTCCTCGGGTGGCGAGCCTCCTCCTCCTCCTTCTCCCCCTCCCCCTCCCCCTCCTCCTCCTCCCTCTCCTCCTCCTCCTCCTCCTCCTCCTTCTCCTCCTCCTCCTCCTCCTCCTCCTCCTCCTCCTCCTCCTCCTCCTCCTCCTCCTCCTCCTGCTCAGGACACCCGAGAGTCGAAGAAGAAAAAACGGCGCAAACATCAACTTTTGGCGCTCCGCGCGGGGTTCCGCCAACCGCCCCTGCGGAGGTCGCCAGGGGAGGCCCTGGCCCACGGGTGCCGCCAGCTTTTCTGGAGCCCCCTCAGGAGTTCAGGAGGAGGGTGAGGAGGAGGAGGAGGAGGAGGAGGAGGAGGAGGAGGAGGAGGAGGAGGAGGAGGAGGAGGAGGAGGAGGAGGAGGAGGAGGAGGGAGGAGAGAGGGAGGAGGAGGAGGAGGAGGAGGCGGAGGAGGGAGGAGGAGGAGCAAGGAGGAGGAGGAGGAGGAGGAGGAGGAGCTTCGGTAGGATGCGCTCTGAATGCCATACGGGCCTCCCTGCAACGGAACTGGGGCCACCTCGGGCCCGGGCCGCCCCTAGCCACCGTCGACTCCCTTGTGCCCCCCAGCTCCCCAGAGCTCGTGCTTAGAGGAGCAGAAGCATGAGCACCATTTCTCAGAGGTTCCCGCGTGGAGCTGCGAGAGATTGGGTTTCTGCATGTGTTATTCTTCTTATTCGACTTTCGCCCCCTCCTCCTCCTCCTCCTCCTGCTCCTCCTCCTCCTCCTCCTGCTCCTCCTCCTCCTCTTCCTCCTCTTTCTCCCTCCCCCCTCCCAAGCTCCCCGGAGCTCATGCTGGAGTGGCCCGCGGGGGGCACGACGTGGTCCGCCACCTTGCTGGGCGGCTGGCCGATCGACTCGAGCAGGGCCACGAACCAGGGGGTTGCCAGCTCGAAGCACTTGCCGCCTCGTGTGGTTCCCATCGCACTTAAGGACCACACGCCCAAAAAATGATTACACCAGAGAAACTCCCAAATCAAAGGATGGTTTTGAATCATGGGATCGGTATAAATCGATCCCACGATTCAAAACCACCCTTTGATCTCTGTATGATAAAGAGATCGATACGGAGATCGACCCGGAATCCGGGAATCCAGAACCCACCGAAGTCGGCCCAGAACCCATAACCCAGAACCCCGGAACCCGGCAACCGGGAACCCGGGAACCCAGCCGGCTACCAAAATCGGCGGGAAGCTTTCGACAAATCTTTCAATTTCCGCTAGGATCCCTTCAGTGCAAGCACTGATTGGGGAATTTCGAGCAGCCAGAAAAGCACCCAGAAAAGTATCGAAACAGTGTCGAACGAGTGTCGCCTCCCAGGGCCCGACGCGCGAAAGCCCTCCAGTTTCCATATTTTCTTGGTGCTCGAAATTCTTTCTGGTGGTCGAGGCTAAAGTAGGTTGGAACATCATAACTGCCGCCCTTGATGCGGTCGAAGGCGATGGCCTTCAGCTTGCTGCCGTCCTCCTGAAATGCGAGGCGGGCGCTGTCTCACGAGCCCGGCTGAGCCAAAGAAGCATCGGTAGCACTAACAAAAGAGACCCTCTGGGGAGAGAGGAGGCCGCGACACCCACAGCCGAGGGCAAGCAGCCCTCCATTTGTGCCCCAAGTGCTCCTCTCTCTTTCACTGCGCGGCGCGCGGCCTGCGTTGCTTCCATCGCTCGTGCTGTTGCTTTGTAGCACGTGATTCGCGTTGCTTGCCCTGCTTTGGGTTGCCTTCCATTTCGGAATTTTCCTGCGCCTGGGGTCGGTAAACACAGCGCGCGGACAGCCCAAGGATTTGCCCCAGGCCCGCGGGGGTCGCGGGCGGGAAAACGTTGCCCGCAGCCCCCCCGCGCCCGTTCGAGTGAATTGCCATTCGTTGGGGGCGCGGGCTGAAACAAAAACTGGCCGCAGCCCCCCCGCAACCTGGCGTGCGGGCAATGACGGAGAACTGTTGTCCTGGCCCGCCACCCTCGATGGAGCCGATCGGGAGATTCCAGTCAGCCCCCAGCGATCGGCCTCCGTCTTCCCTCTCAGGGAGCCCCGGGCGGCCCAGCCGAGGAGGAGCAGCAGCTCAGACGCAAGCATCGAGCACCCTCGGCTGCACGCAAGAGCGACCCTGGGCAGGAGCGACGCTTCGAGTGCGCGGATTTGAAGGAGCCCCAGGACACACACAAATAAATACACACAAGTAACAGGATCCCCCATTCCTTCCTACATCCTCTGGGCTTCTGTCCTCCCCCCCACTTCCGATATTTTCCCATACTTTTCTTGGACATCGACGATTCATTGTGCCTGTGTGTTTCTTTCCCTCCTGAGGACTGAGGCGGCGCAGGGTGGCCGAATCCGGGCGCGCAGGGCGGCCGCTCGGGGGCGGACGCGACGGGGGGCGTCCACGAGGGGGGCGGGGCGCAGACCGTGGCCGGCGGCACGTGCGCGGCCCGGGGGCAGGGCCCGGGGCGCCGTGAACTGAGAAGAGGCACCAGGAGATCTGATAGGGGGCCACATGCGAACCCTACCCCTACCCCCCACGATTTCTGGGGGGGAGGGTGGGGGGGAGGGGTAGGGTTCGCATGTGGCCCCCTATCTGAGGAGATGCCATGGCCCCCGCCGTGACATCCCCCCCCCTGGCCACCACCCCCCTCTCTGCCGCCCCCGAGCGAAGGGCCACTCTTGCGTGTCGTCGACCGGGCTGGTGAGAGCACGCCCGACGAAGACCTGAACGCCGGCACGGGGCGCGAGCTTGCGGGGGTCCGCGCGGAATTCTCGAGCCAAAGAGCCCCAAACAGCCCAGCCGAGGAGGAGCAGATCAAGCGACAACGTCGAACACACGGGCGTGTACGGTCGGACCGAGGCATAGGGTCGAGGTCGGCTCGGGGAGGGTACCCTCACGTTCTTCGTGCTTGCTGGACGCTCTTGTGCAGTCTGGGGGGGGGGGGGCTCGAATGACTTTCAGTTTGGCAGGCGCAGGGTCTCATGTTCTTGATGGATGTTATCATGTCCTACAGTCATCGGCCTGACCTAAGGAACGATAAATAAGGAACGAAGCCCCGTTTTTTTATCCCAAGGAATAACGCATAAGGAACGATACATAACAAACAACGCATAAGGATCTGTAAATAACGCATGCAAGCCTAAGGAACGACCGAGCCCCTTTTGAAAAGCAAGTGTTCCTTACTCAAGCCGCTCACTGTAGGTCCGACTGTGAGACCACGCCCGGCGAAAAGTTGAACGCCGGCACGGGGCGCGGGCTTTCGGGGGCGTCCGCGCGGGCTTCCCGAGCTGGCGCCGGCGCGCCAGCCCTGGCTCGCCAGCGATTGCATGCGACGAGGAGGGGGTTCGGCACCGAGTCGAGCAACCCGCGCGACCTTCCAAGAGAGCGTATGCTCACACACCTGCTTGGAGTCAAGCCAGCTTTAGGCTGAGAGCATGGGCTTCGCTCGAAGCGCTCTCTTAGGCAGGAGTTCAGGTCCAGATGTACGGAAGTTCTGAGAACCCAAAACCAAGCTTCGGAAAAACGCCCAGGGTACGGTCGATATTCCTGGTCTTCTTATACGAGATCTGGAGTCCATGAAATTGCTGCTCTTTCTTAAGATTTCTGCTGGTTGTCTGTCGGTTCGTGGCCGTCGATCCTCGTCGTGGCCCATCACCCCGCCAACGCGCTGGAAAGCGCAATCCACGGCAACCATGGCGCACTGCCGGATGAGCGTCCGGTCGGCCTCGTTCGCAGGGGCCGCGCGCGCGAAGTACCCGCTCTTCTGCACCAGCGTCTTCTCGGCGCCGATCTTCGCAGCAAAGGTGTCCCCGAAATACTTCCCGACGTTCACGGCGTCGAGCTTGACGTGACCGAACGCGTCCCTGGGGATCTCGATGCCCTTCGCTTCCTGCTCCTTCACAATGTCCTTGACTCCAGCGCCCTCGGAGATGAAGATGTTGACGCAGTCGAACTCGTCCATGATCGCCTTCAGCCGCTTCGCCTCCGCCTCGATGTCGATGACCATCTCGGGCAGGTAGACGGCGTGCACCGCGAGGCGGCTGTGGTCCACGAAGAGCTCCGGCAGCATGGTGTGGTTACTCAGGTACTTCATGTACTGGTTCGCCGTGGCAGCGGTGAGCCAGCCGCAGTCGCGGCCCATCACCTCGTGGATGATGAACATCCGCGGGTTGGCGGTGGACTCCGCGACGACGTTCGCGAAGAACTCGGCGCCCTTCTGGGCCGCGGTCCAGGCCCCGAGGGACTGCCGGATCGGGATCACGTCGTTGTCGATGGTCTTGGGCATGCCGATGACCGTCATCGAGTAGCCGTGCGACTGGAGGAAGTCGGCCAGCTGGGCCGCGGCCGTGTTGGTGTCGTCGCCGCCGATGGTGTGCAGGATGTCGACCTCGCTTCGTCCTCCTCCTCCCTCCTCCCTCCTCCCTCCTCCCTCCTCCCTCCTCCCTCCTCCTCCTCCTCCTCCTCCTCCTCCTCCTCCTCCTCCTCCTCCTCCTCCTCCGCCGATGGTGTGCAGGGAGCAGTGCCTCTCGATTTTTTTTCGTGCTCTGCTTTCGTCCTCTCCCTCGCTCTGGCCTCGGCCCGCTCTTGCGGCAGGGCGAGGTCGAGACCGAGAGCGGCCCACGAGAGCGCCAGAAAAAGCTTCGCTCGGGTCGACCCCTGGTCGGCCTTGTCCTTCACGAGCTGGTCGGCGGCAACCTTCTGCGGATCCTGGCCCTCCTCTCGGGTCGGGCGAAAGGGGGGGGATAGCAAAGGGGGGGGTTGAGAATCAGCTCGCGTAGCTGATTTTCCCGGCGCCTCCCGGCGCCAGAGGCGGCTATGTATCGAGGAATGGGCCCCTGGGTGAGGCCGAAACCAGCTGCATGCAGCAAATTTCGTAACCCCCCCTTTCCCAATCCCCCCCTTTCGCCCGGCCCGATCCTCCACGAGGCCGCGCTTCACGCAGTCCTTCACGTTGGTCAGCTTGACGCGACTGTTGCCGATCGGGGAGCCGCCGTGGAGCTGCAGGACCCCCGCCTGGTCTTAGGTCGGGCATGCCCCCCCACAGCCGGACTGTGGATAGAAAATAGAGAACAGCTAAAACAAACTATCCCAGTGCGACCCTACCTAGGAGTTGGAACCCCTAGGAAAGCAGCATCAGTAGTAACAGTAACGCTAAAGCTAAGCTAAAGCTAAAGCTAAGCTAAAGCTAAGCTAAAGCTAAGCTAAAGCTAGGCTAAAGCTAAGCTAAAGCTAAGCTAAAGCATGTCCCCCTACAGCCGGACTTTGGATGAAAAATAGAGAACAGCCAAATCAAACCACAAACATGCTCAACAATACTCAAAGAATCGTCCCGATATTATTTTTCGACTATTTTAGAATATCCCCCCTGTAGCGGCACAGGCCCGACTTAAGCCTGGTCGCGCATCTTTTGGTCGATCTCGATGTAGTCCCCGGCGAGCAGCCCCTCCGGGGGCAGGGCGCCGGCTGTGCACACACACACACACAGACCACACACACACACACACGCACACACATACGCACGCACACGGCATACGCACACGCACACACACACACACACAAACACACACACACACACACACGCACACGCACACGCACACGCACACGCACACGCACACGCACACGCACACGCACACGCACACGCACACGCACACGCACACGCACACGCACACGCACACGCACACGCACACGCACACGCACACGCACACGCACACGCACACGCACACGCACACACACACACACACACACACACACACACACACACGCATCTTGCCATCGCTCGGGCGTCAATTCCCCCCGCCTTTCTCGGTTTCGTGAGTTTCTTTTGGCACGATGATCCAGGATGCTTTTCGATGGCCCTCGCCGGAAAAAAAAACATGCACACGTCCAGAGCGATGCCAAGACACGCCTGCACAGACCCTGGCCAGGCTGAAATTTGGGCCCCGGACCAGCCCAGCCAGGATCGGAGCACACACGGTTGTGCAGCCGACGCGCCCCCGTTTCCCCCGCAGGCCTTGTAGCCCCCCTTGTAGGCGATGAGCCGCGTGGCGGGCGACCGGATGGTGTAGGCCTCGATCAGGTAGCCGAGCGACGAGGACAGGCACGGCGCCAGGCCGCCGGCGGTGAGGAACGCCACGGTGTCGATCTGCTTCTGCGCCGCCATGCTCCGCTACACTTCACGAGGCCGAGGGCTGACAGGTGCTGGGCGGTCTGGGGCCAAGACTTGGGCCGAAATGGCGACTCAAGACGGGCAGGAGTTGGAGGAGGAGGAGGAGGAGGAGGAGGAGGAGGAGGAGGAGGAGGAGGAGGGGGAGGAGCAGGAGCAGGAGGAGGAGGAGGAGGAGGAGGAGGAGGAGGAGGAGGAGGAAGCGGCGACCGCTGGATCCCGCCCCCGTTTGCCCCGCCAGGGGCCGAGAGAGACGGCGGCCAGCGCGGCCTTCACAGACCCATCAGGCCCGCGATGGGCGGCACTGGCTCTCATCGCGACCGACGCCGGCTGCGGCATCAGCCGCACCTTGAGCTACGACATCGCGGTCACGCAGCCCGGCCTGGCACAGGCGGCTGCGTCGACAGCGTGCTGATGCTCGAGCTCTGCTGCGCCCGCAGCGAGCACGCGCACGTGCCCCAGGGCCTCCGTGGGTCCCCCCCCCAAGGGCCATCGAGAAGTAACGAGAAGAAGTCTCCGTGGGTGTCCGAGACATTCGAGAACCCAGGGCATCTCCTGGGCCCCCCCAAACACAAACATCAGAGACGGGGCGAACACGCCTGGCATGATTTTCGCCGCGACGCGCCCACATGAATGCAGCACGAGTGGCGGGCGTACTGACGCCCCCTGCGCGCCACCCCCCGTCGAGGGCCAGAGGACCCTCCAGGGACCTCCGAGGACCGAGAACACCACGCGGAGACCTCCCAGACCCTTCAGGTCAGCGAGGCTCGAGGCTTCTGGGCGCCTTTGGCCCTGGGACCGCCAAGAGTCCGCCCAGGATGGGAAACTCACCCGAGGGGCCGAGAGCCCTAGGGATGAAACAAGAACAACTTGCCCAAGGCCTGGGCTCTCGGCGGTGCACGGTTTCCCCTAGGGCCGTAGGCAGCGACCCAAGGAGGAGGAGGAGGAGGAGGAGGAGGAGGAGGAGGAGGAGGAGGAGGAGGAG